AACTTACAGAATTAGCTGAGCCCACGGCTAAGTAAGTTGGATCAAAGACTGGTGTCCGAGACCGGCAAGGTCTATAGATAAACTTAATGAACTACGGCAGACAGCAGACGTGTAATAAAGTTAATGATAACTTTAGAACTTTTGGACTGACTAAATGATAGGATTGTACCCCATTTTATACATTCATGAACAGGATATGTGGGGGAGATTATTATGACATCACCACATAACTTTAAGATGAATTTACTAACTTTAAGATGAATTTGGGAATGACATCATCTCCTTAAGGATGAAGTTGTAGATGACATCATCACACAACTCAGATTCAACACTCCCTTAACCTTATTTGGAGTATTAGCCAACAGGTGATTTGGACAACAAAATTTATGAGGGCACTTTAGAACGAACTTTGTACATGCACTCTACAATATGGCTAATACAGTCTAAACTATTACAAAGTATAGTAAAACTAACATAACAGTATTTAACATTGTATTATAGTAAAATAAATGTATTAGGTATAACCTAACACCTAACAACGTCTTTTATGAAAATAATGACATGGAAAGAAATACTAACACAAAAATATTCATGCTTAAAAGGTTGAGAGTGGCAGGTTTCACTTCCTGAACTTTCAACCATCTACGTTGGTTATATTCACCCAACCCGCGAATATGCCGCACCAGTTTGGAACAGTGGACTATATCTGGAACACAGATCCGTCGCCTTGAGAGGGTCCAAAAGCGCGTGTCTGGCACGTGAGTATGTTTCGTACGAAAGTGCCCTATCAGCGCTCGGGCTGGAGTCGCTCACTGACCGGAGGTCCTCTCTCTGCAGAAAGTTTGTCCAGAAATCAGTTATTAATCACAGGTTTTGTCATTGGTTCCAAACCTCTAATAATACCTCATCAATACGTCTCCGTAATCCCAGAAAGGTTTAGAAATAGCCCTAAACCTTTTCTCACCAAACTTCTTAATCAAATAAATTAATCCATTCCTGGTGTCCTTTCTGCGAGAGTGTTGACTTGTGCTCCGGGTGCGGGTCCCACACGGGTGGTGTTTTGGGTGCGATTGTGCCAGCGGCATGCAGGCGGCTGTCCCCTCGGTTGGTTTGATATTTGTTTAAATTTTTTTGTTTGTTTTTGAATATATGCTCTGTCTTTTTAAAAAAAATTTTAAATCGGAAATTTTATGTTTGTGTATATCAAATAATATCTACCTTAATTATATCAAATTTTTAAAATAATAATTGTAACTAATTAAAATAATAACAATCTTGACAATTTTAATTGATCTTAATAATAATGATAATGATTTATTGTAAATTTAATTAAGGTATTCACTTTGTAAAATGAATCCCCAGTTCAGCCACTGGCTGCTAAGGATTTGATATTGCAGTTGTGTTGTTTGTTTTTGTGAATAAAAGATACCGAGATAGGATAGTAACCATAATATGGTTACTATATACCCGCGCATGGTGTTGAATGAGTGGAGGAAATGTAGCAATGTATATTGTTGAATGTTAATAATGGGGAATGATAGATGCAACCGTTGTGTATCGCGCATGGTGTTGAATGAGTGGAGGAAATGTAGCAATGTATATTGTTGAATGTTAATAATGGGGAATGATAGATGCAACCGTTGTGTATATACACAACGGTTGCATCTATCATTCCCCATTATTAACATTCAACAATATACATTGCTACATTTCCTCCACTCATTCAACACCATGCGCGGGTAGATATTGTTGTTGCTATTATTATTGTTATTGTTATTGTTATTGTTATTGTTATTGTTATTGTTATTTTTATTGTTATTTTTATTTTTATTTTTATTTTTATTTTTATTTTTATTGTTATTATTATTATTATTATTATTATTATTATTATTATTGCGTGTGGTATACTTAATTAAAAGTATCATTATTATATTTTAGCGATTATTGTACCACAGAAGAATAAAAATAGGGAAATCTTGATCGTTGAATAATCTTGTTCAGCGTAATAACACAGAGCGTACACAAGTATTATTATTATTATTATTATTATTATTTTGATTATTAATATTATTATTATTATTATTATTATCATCATCATTATTATTACTATTATTATTATTATTATTATTATTATTATATTATTATTATTATTATTATTATTATTATTATTTATTATTATTATTTAATACCTGTGATTAGAAACCAATTGCTACAGTTGAAATTTAATTATTTTTACATAATATTTTACATAAACATTCTATAATTACTTATTTATTATTACAGTATTATTATGATTATGATTATTATTATTATTATTAACATTATTATTATTATTATTATTATTATTATTATTAATTATTATTATTATTATTATTTAATACATGTGATTAGAAACCAATTGCTACAGTTGATGTTCTTGTGGTGTATTGAATTACCGTTTAACGTACATTCCCGTTTATAATGTCTGCATTCTTTATATGTAACAACAAATAGAGAAATCTTGATTGTTGAATCTTATTCAGCGTAATATCACAGAGCGTACACATCACTATTCCCTAATGACGTAGGCCTATTATTGCAATGTCATTCGATTGAGGAAGGTGCGAGAAAGTGGTCTTGGAGGAACTGGTAAGAAATTTTATTTATTTTACATTAATAAACATTCTATAATTACTTATTTATTAATTAATTAATTATTATTATTATTATTATTATTATTATTATTATTATTATTATTATTATTATTATTATTATTATTATTATTATTATTATTATTAATATTATTAGAAACCAATTGCTACAGTTGATGTTCGTGTGGTGTTGAATTACAGTTTACCTTTTATAAGGCCCCATAAAAAATATTATTAGTTTATCACCCTCATCACTTTTGGAAAAGTCTGATTTTTTTTTTCCAATCAACATATATTTTTATTTTAAATGGTCCTTTTTCCATCTTTTTTCACATGAAAAGTTCAGAGTTTCTTGCAAATAGGCTTACTGGTACAACGAAAACATATTTTTAAAATATAAATTTGATTCCATTCATATGACTTTTTATATATGTGTCTCTAACCATTGATTAACTTGTGATCATCGGTAAAATGGGGACGGGATTAGCAAAAAAAAAACCAAAAAAAAAACCAAAAACCTCCCTCCCTCATCAGTTTTTATTCTTTGATAGGGTGATAAACTAATAAAAAAAAATTTATCGGGCCTAATGTCTGCATTCTTTATATGTAACCAGGGAGTTGTTATAACAAATCCCCGATGTAACTTTTATATGCAATGTGACAGTGTACAACTTTGTATTTATCACCAATAAAACGGTTCTGATTATTATCAACATTGAACACTTTTTTGCAGAAAGATTAGACATCCATTGCGAGAGTTAATTTTCGTAAGGTATATTGAATTCCAGCCTTAATAGTGTCTGTATTCTTTATTTGTAGGCTAACAGAGCAAAAACCAATTGCTATAAATTATGCAATGTGGCAGTGCATGCAATTTTGTACTTGACTAACTAAATGATTCTAATTATTATCCACGTTGAACACTTTTTGCAGAAGCACTTAGTTGGAGATGAATAGAAGTAATACAATACTATGTGACCTTGTGTATCTTATTCACTACCTCAAATAATCGTATTACAGTACTGTCATTCTAATAATTGGAATAAAGATCGTGCTGCTGAAGGCTATGGACAAATCTAATCAGGGGTGGCGCCAGCGGGAAGAAAAAACATATTTTATCAGGGAAAATGTATATCTATGTATTTTCTACAGATTAGTTGACTTTGAAATCGATTAAATATGCATTTGAAACCCCTAAATTTTAAGCGACACCCGACCACGCCCACTTTTCTTTTGTCGTGGACATCATCC